GTTGCACCGTTTCACACTCCCACCAACAGTGAATAAGGATTCCAGTTTCTCCACAACCTCGCCAGCATTTGTTGCTTGCTTAATTTTGCTATTCTGACTGGGGTGAGATGATATCTCATAGTTGTTTTGCTCTCTTGTCTTTTTAAACTTCTGCTTTTAGACTCTCTTCATGTGCCTTACCATCCCTTCCCCACCCTCCCTCACCCTGTTTCTCAAAATAAATTGACTCAAGATATACTTTCCATTAATTCTGCTTCATTAACAGAAAATCACACTGTGAAAAATTAAGTAATCATTTGTGATTTTTTTTAATGGCAGTCCTGGAAAACCAGGACAAATGTCCTCTAGAACTGGATACACATAGCTCTAGTGGACTAGTGGGTGAAGGGTTGAGCTGCCAATTCAAAGGCAGGTGATTCAAATTCACCAGTTACTTCAGGGAAGAAGGATGGGCAGTCTCCTCCCGTGCAATTTTTAGCCTCTGAAAACCTGCTGGAGGGTCAGCTATGGGTCAGTTCTGACTTGATGGTAATGAGTGAGTGAGTAAGTGAGAAACAATTTTATTGAGAAGAATAGGAATTAATACTATAATGTTGGGGCAATGTAGTAAGCAAGGTTGATGAAGCTTCATCTTTCATACTTGGACATGTAACTAGGTGAGGCTATTTGTGGGAAGGGACATCATGCTTGGAAACGTGGAGGGTCAGCAAAGGAGAGGAAGACCCCTACTGAGAGAGAGTGACATGACTTTAACAATGGGCTCCAGTGTTTCGGAGATGATGAGGATGGCACAGGATAGACAGGGTTCAGGTCAGTTGTTCATAGGGTTGCTATGAGTCATATTGTACTTGACAGCATGTAACAACAACAACATAAGGTTGCTATGAATCAAAATCAACAGGAATCTGTTTTGGGTTTATTTTCTAAATATGAATGTCCTTAATTTTCCTCTATACAAGAATCTTAGGTGTAACCCATAAATTTTTAAGCTGTATGAGCTTTATCAGTAAACTTAAAATGTTTTTGCTGAAACTGCGGAGGACCTGAGTGCTTGCTGCAGAAAGTCAAGGACTTCAGTCTTCAATATAGATTGAAGCTTGGCACCAAGAAGACAAAGATTCTTACCACTGAGCCAATTGGCAACACAATGATGAATGGAGAAGAGATTGTGGTTGTTAACAATTATAGCTTGCATCAGCTCCACAATCTTGGCACCAGCAGTCAGGAAATCAAAAGATGAATTGTGTTGGGAAAATCTGCTGCCATGGAGCTCTCTGGAATACTGACAAGCAACAGTTATCAGTCTAGTCACCTGATCCAGGCCATGTTCTTCACAATTACTTGCTATTCATCAGAGAGCTGGACAGTGACCAAGAATGACTGAAGAAGAATTGATGCATTTGAGTTGTGATGCTGGAGTTTGAACATATTATGGACAAATAGGCCTGTCTTGGAGAGGGTGAAACCAAGTTTCTCCTTGGAGGCTAGGATTTTGAAGTTCTATCTCACATACATTGAACACATGACCAGGATGCACCAGTCTTTGGAGAAGGACATCATGCTTGGAAAGATGGAGGGACAGTGCAGGAGAGGAAGACTCTCTATGAATTTTTATTCTAAAAATACAGAATACTATTTTAGAGAACAATATTTGCCTGGTTGGGTTTGGTGTTGGTTTTTGTTTTTGTTTTTTTTTTTGGTGTGTGTGTTTTTGTTTTTTACTAAACAAAGGTGTTTGACAGTGTAAATTATAACTGTTGTTGTTGTTGTTGTTGTTACTCATAACAACCCTGTGTACAAGAGCCCTAAATGCTGCTCTATCCTGTGCCAACCTTGCCATCTTTGACACACTCATTCCCACCACCACAATCACAGAATCAATCTATCTCATTGAGGGTTTCCTCTCCTGCACCGTCCCTCCACTCTCCCAAACATGATGTCCCTCCTTGCAACTTGCCCAAAGTATGTCAGATGCAGCTTCAGAGT